CACAGCTGGCCCTACTAAAAAGATTTTCCCCATCTTTCCTATAGGCCCCCTTTAGGTATTGAAAGGCCGTAATCAGGTCTCCCCGCAGCCTTCTTTTCTCCAGGCTGAACAAGCCCAACTCTCTCAGCCTGTCCTCATAAGAGAGGTGCTGCAGCCCTCAGATCATTTTTGTAGCCCTCCTCTGGACATGCTCCAACAGTTCCATGTCCTTCTTGTGCTGAGGGCTCCAGAGCTGGATGCAGTACTGCAGGTGAGGTCTCACCAGAGCAGAGTAGAGTAGCAGAATCGCCTCGTTTGATCTGCTCACCACGTTTCTTTCGATGTAGCCCAGGGTACGGTTGGCCTTCTGGGCTGCCAGCGCACATTGCTGGCTCATGTCGAGCTTTTCATCCATCAGTACCCCCAAGTCCCTCTCGGCTTGTTGACTCTCGGTCAAGTACTGTTTGAATCTGGTTGATCCAAAACAAATTGGTTTTGTGTTTTATTGCTTTCTAGCGATGAATATATAAACAGCGCTGGTCCCAGTATGGACTGATGAGGGACACCACTCGTCACCGGTCTCCATCCGGACATTGAGCCATTGACCATTACCCTCTGGATGTGACCATCCAACCAATTCTTTATCCACCAAACAGTGGATCCATAGCCCTCCATTTTAGACAGAAGGATGCTGTGGGGGACAGCATCAAAGGCTTTGCAGAAGTCCAGATAGATGACATCCATTGGTTTTCCTTTGTTCACTGTTGTCACACCATCATAGAAAGCCACTAGGTTGGTCAGGCAGGACTTGCCCTTGGTGAAGCCATGCTGGCTATCTCGAATTACCTTCCTGGCCACCATGTGCCTTAGCATAGCTTCTAGGAGGATCTGTTCCATGATCTTCCCAGGCACAGAGGGGAGGCTGACAGGTTGGAGGTTCCCAGGGTCTTCCTTTCTACCCTTTTTGAAAATGGGCACAATGTTTTCCTTCTTCCCCTCCCCAGGGACTTTGCCTGACTGCCATGAGTTTTCGAATATCATGGAGAGTGGCTTGGCAACTACATCAACCAATTCCCTTGGGATTCTGGGATGCATCTGATCAGGTCCCATAGACTTATGTGTGTTCAGGTTCCTCAGGTGGTCACAAACCTGATCTCTTATACTGGGAAGGGTTTTACCCTCCTGGTCCCCCTCATGCAGTTCATCAACTTGGGAGGGGTGAGGAGAGAGGTTGCCAGTGAAGACTGAGGCAAAAAACTTGTTGAGTAGCTCAGCCTTCTCCTCATCTGCTGTTACCAGTTTGCTGGTGTCCCTCATCAGCGGGGGTACCCTTTCTTTAACCATCCTTTTCTGGCTGATATACCTGTAGAAGCCCTTCTTGTCATTCTTTGCATCCCTTGCCAAGTTTAGCTCCAGTGTGCCTTGGCCTTCCTGACCCCATCCCTATATCCCTAGGCAGCATCCCTATACGTTTCCCAGGATGCCTGTCCCTGCTTCCACTGCCTGTGCAGTTCCTTCTTTCTCCTTAGTTTGAGCAGCATCTCTTGTCTTAGCCATGTTGGTCTCTTCCCTTCTTTGCCTGATTTCTTCTATTATTATAGACAAACTTTTAGTGTTCCAGACTGTGAACAAATTTCTGTGGCAAAATTTACTTTGTTGGTCTATGGAAAATTCAAATGAGCCATGCACTCTCAATATACTACCCTATAGATCCTGTGTTATGTGTTGTGCATGAGGGAAAAATATTCTGTGCTTCCATTTGCTTTTGATGATCTTAGATACCTATCTGGTAAAATAATGAAGGATCACAAGAATTTACGGCACACAAACATGTTACATTTATATGGGTGAGTTCAATATAAAGAATCAATTAAAACAAATGGTAAGGTGGAAAGCAGTCAGGTGATAGAGAGCCTTTCCCTAACCTCTCATTTCACTGATGGACTTGACAGAAGAGAACTCCAGGGACTTTGTGCGAAGAAAGATAACAAATACCTTTCAGTCCTCAGAGTTATTAGGTAGGCTCTGATAACTCACCAGAGTTCTTCTGATACTAAGTTTTCTTTGTGGGTTTTTTTTTGTTTGTTTGGTTTGGTTTGGTTTTTTGTTTGTTTTTACCAAGCACTGAGAAGTTGGGGCATGACATGAAAAGCTCTCCTGGAAGTTTTATATTTCCTTGTAAAATATGATATGTAGCTTAGTACTTAATGCTAAAACCAGGAAGCTAGTAAGGAGACATGCCATTATGACTCAGCCTTAATTCAGAGAAACAATCCTACAACTGACAATTTAAGCCTGAAATATAGGACTCTCAGTAAGTAGTTCTTTTTATAATGTAGATTTTAGTTAGTATACACTGATCTAATATATATATAGCTTGTTCTGTTCTCTGAAAATGGCAATGCTTTCCTGAATGTTACTTTTAAAAAAATTCCAAGTACTTTCAGTTATCATTATAGCCCTCATATTAATTTTTTAATTCGTAAAAAGGGGGTGGTCACTCCAAAAAGATGTGAAGAACAGCTACTGATTCTTTTTGCTTTTAAACTACTTTGCTGTAGAGAAATGTTTACAGTAGTTACGGTTCTTCCATATTTGTGCATGAGTATAATAATAATTATGCTCTGTGAAATGGAAGCATCTGCTAGTATATAAAAAGAAAAAAAATCTGAGAAAATAGAGTGCATGATGTGAGGAGAGTGAACACATGGGGGGGATATGCCCACATACTTGCACAGCTCAGAATGTATTGTGTTATTTCCCTTGTCTGTGCGCCATCTGTGCTCTAATGCAGCTTTCTTTTTTTCATCTTACAGCTTGTTTCACTTACTGAGGAGGTAATGAGGGAAAGCAAAAACCCAATTCCTTACACTTCTCTGAATGCTGGGAAAGGGGCTGGCAAACTGGTGGTTCTTTCTTTACAGCCTCTAGTAGGGTAAAACTGTAAGGCTGAAAGTTGAAGAAAATGCCACTTGTTTTGTCCTTCCTGTCAGCACTGTTCCCGATTGCTGTCAGAAGGGTAGATGGGCTTTTGGTCTGGCTGCATTGGGATGTTCTTACGCTTGACTTCCTTCCAGTCGGGACAGAGGATACCAGTAGCTGTAGCTGGAGTACTTGGCTGTCCCTGCCAAGCTTGGATTGCAGTGAAAAATAGCACTGCAATTCTGGCCATTTCACATGCAGAGTGGTTGCACTGGCCCTCAAAATAGTGAAATGTTTGGTTTGATTAATTTATCCTTCCTAGCAAATGAGGGAATAATAAGGATAGGTAATCAGGAAGGAGGCTAGGTATTGTTCCTGGGTATCTGTAGAAAGATCTGAAAATCTGGGACTCCAGAATTAGTAGGGCCTCCTTGAATCATAATGTTGTATACATTTTTCTCACTGGCAGCTACACTGTATATTGGTTCCATTCCAAAACTAATTAAATCGTTTGGTTTTTGGGGAAAAGATATGTGGTTTGCTAGTCTGGGAATGCATAATGACTCTTAAAACACAGCTCTTGCATGCAGTATTGTAAAGTTGTTAGTTTTGGGGATACCTAACTTGAAGAACTTTGAAGGTCCCAGCCTATTCCTCAGATCCTGGAAAAACTTCCTTTTGGTAAAAGAATGTTAATCACCCCATTATTGTAGAGTAAGAGAAGAAGCTCTTTTTATTTGAGTTAGATTTATTAGATAATCATATCCTGATCTAGGTCTTTAAATGTCTCTCATCACTATGCAAAACAAAGTTTGTATGCAGAGGTAATATCTTTTATTAGGCTAGTAAATATAGTTGGAAAAATTAGACAAGCTTTCAGGCATGCAAACCCTTCTCATCACTGTAACATCTGAGGACCTAATTCATGTCGGTTTTAGTTTGTTTTGATTTATTCCTAAAATAGAATTTCAATTGCTTATCCAATACAAATATTTGCTGTGTAACCTACAACCTGCCTGATGTACAGCTGCTTTGGGGGGCAGAGTGGGACTGCATTCTCTTTCACAATTACATAGTTTTAGAACATATTTTCCTAATCCTTTGTTATGTTCTTGAACTTGTGTGGTTTTGGTACAGTTTTTAAGTGATAACCCAAACTTAAAAAAAACCCCAATACCTCTATAATTATCTTTTTAAATTTTCTTTGTTAAACTATGTTTTGCAGTCTGCTCACTTAAAAAGCTCATGCCCTTAAAATACAAGACCAAGTCTTCCCATTTAAGCTTCTCTCACTGAATCTGAAAGGAACATCCGATTGCCATTGCAAGGTATCACTGTAATGATAGACTGCATTTAGTCAAAAGGCAAAGTTTTCTCTTAACCACTTTTAGATGTTCTGCCAATTAGAATACTGCCTACTTGGTAACTACCAGCAGAGGGAGCACATCTATTTTGAATAAACTGAATGAACATGGGTGGACTACATAGCTCTACCTACTTTTCAGAAATTTTCCAATCCCAGGAATCATGTGTTCACACAACTAATTAGGACAACAGCAACGTGATAATTTAATGTAACTTTTGGAATCTAGATATGTGAAAGTATCAAATATTTGGTCGGTTCCCTGTTATTCGATTCCCTGTTACTCTTTACCAGCATTATAAAGCAAGTGCTATGCTTTGTGATCTCACTGTGGTTGTGAGCCTGGGCAATTACTGTTTTGAGTTCCACAGAGGTGCAGAGCATCTGCACAAGCTGCAACTTGAAGCAGAATCTTGCAAATGCTCTGTAACAATATATTCCGTTGGTTCTAAGCAATATTGAAATCCATACTAGTGATGTTGTACTGTTGTTTTTACAACCTAATTTTTTCTTTGTTTTATTTTGTCCAGTTTTTTGACCTGTCTGTAACTGTGGTATTCCTTCTTTTTGAAGCTTTGTTTGTGCTTTCAAGATGATGGTGGGCCTACGCTGTTAATAAAAACTAGTTTCCATTTTGCTGCTAACTTAAGTGTTTACAAATTTACAACAGTGCTTAGCATCTTTTTTCTGAAAATCCCTGGAAGTGCCTATATTCTTGAAATAGTATTTTTTTTAATTTTTCCATGCAGAGAGACAGCCTGTAGTGAAAGTGGAGGCAGCTCAGATGAAGATTTAACTGGTCCTTCCATGCAATCCCAGACTTCTGCCCAAGGTCCAGCTGAGGATACTGATGAGGATGATGATGAATTCATTGGGCCACCACTTCCGCCTGGGTTCAAGGACAGTGATGATGATAATGACAATGATGATACAGAGGAGGAAGATAATGTAAGTATTTTGTTCCTCTTTAATGTTTTAACGCTTTGAGTAGACTGTAATTTGTAAGCATGCTCTTTCTTTTATGATTGAGTTTGCAGGTGAAGAGTGACTGTTGTTTGAAATGCATTTTTTTGGTGTTTTTTCTAATGATTATCCAACACATGCAAATAATTGTTTTAATTTAAAAATACTAGGATTTTTAAAAAATGTATGCATGTGAATCTCAAGGGAAATTCATCATCAGTTAATATATATGATTTACTCTGTTTTCACATTATGAAAGAACTATATAAATAAATATATAAATATGTTATATGGTTTGTTTCCCAATGCATGTGTAGAATTTTTTAGAACAAAAAGGAGGTAGAGATGTACTTGAATGTGGAGAGAGCTATTGTGCCAAAACTGGTCCGAGAAATTTAACTGTGGTATCTGAGGTTTTGTGGGGGGTTTGGGTTTTTTTTGGTGGTTTTTCTTTTTTTTTTGTTTTGTTCGGTTTGTTTTGGTTTTTTTCTAAATCTAAATAAAGTGCCGCCCTGGTTTATTAAAGTGAATATAGATTGCCTTTTCTATCTATGTTGAAAAGCAAGAAACCCCCTAGCAGCCTAATTTGGGTATTACAGATACTCAGCTGACAAATCTCTTTTAATTAAATGTTTAACTTTTTGATGTTCTTTCTCCAAAACTTCCTGGATTGAATAGTTTGTGGCAGTGGATTTTGTATGATCGTTTCGTGTTGTTTTGTAGCAAAAATGATAGAAGTCCTGTAAAAACAGCCTTCCTTACGCTGTTTTGAATGATTCTGTAGCAGAAAAAACCTGTATGTCCTGTTACACAAATATAAACCTAATCCCAAACCTGAAATCCCGAGGTGTCTCAAGGGTTTCTTGTCAATTCCTCTTTGGTTTTGAATAGGTGTTTGGTTTGTTTATTCTTTTTCTATAAAGTCTCTTACCTTGCATCTTGTGAACTTTAAAACATAAGTTTAGACTATGCAGTTAAAATGAACAAGAGAAACTTCTTAAGCAATGACATAACTATTTTTAGAGTGAGTTTAACCTCGTATGATCACAATTTTTGTGGTTCCTCCCTCCCTGCCCTCCTTCCCCCCCTGGGGATAAGTGATGGGAAATTCTGATGCCTTAGGGTTTTTTATTACTTTGTCTGATCTGCTTGATTCACTGTTGCCTAAGGATTTCTTGAATTATCAAACCGTACATTTTAGCACTGTATCTCCTGTAATTTCATCTGTACCACGCATGACTTTTTCTGTCTTAGGGAACCAAGTGCAGATAAATCCCAAACTTTCCTTGGGAATGTTGTAAGCTTTAAGTTAACTTATGACTTACTATTGATCTGTATCAGGAATTCTCTTAACTTTTAGCTGTTAGGGCACTGTGGAGTGAGTCCATATTCCTGAGGGCGTTATAGGCTCAGCAGATTTCAGTTGCTGTGGATCATGTCACATTGAAGTCAAAGCTGCTTTTCTGCTAATTTTCATCAGTTCTCCTGTGTTCTTAAATTTTCAACTCATACTAAAATCTTAAAATACAGTGCTTTATAAAAAAAATTTATCAAACATTAACTTCTCCAACAGATAATCAGAATAATAGTTCCCGTCTTGAAAAGTACCTACATTCTTTGATGCTGAAGGAAATGATTGGTCTTGTTCAGTTTTGTCTCTAAATACTTTTCAACCTATTTCAGTATCATCCAGAGTGTTAGTGTGTATGCAGATTGTGGTGAGCCCAGATGCTTGCCACTTTGGAAAACACACACAACATATTACAGAAAGAACAACAACTTCTGAAAGTACCTTTTAATAGCTGCTAACTTTGTGCATATATGTACTAGGAAGTGGTAAATCTCAAAAAATGCATGCTTGTTCTGCACAGGTGTTTTGTTCTTTCTTTGGGGTCTCATCAGAATGTCCTTCTAAATCACAGCACTCCCTAGCTGTCCCCATTTTGTTTCCCAGAAAAAAAACAATCTTGCTCTGCTGTCAGCACTTCTGAAGCTTGTAACTGCCTTATAGCACTGAATAATGGAAGCCACACAGAGAGAAACAACCAGGCTTGGGAATCAAATTCTGCCAGGTATCCTTAATCTTTGGGAGAGTAAAAGTTCTCCAAGATGCTTAAAGGATTTCAGTGTATATGACACTAAAATAAAACAGTGTAAACTTGAAATCATGTTATGTCCTGGCAACTAAACCCAAGGTTAAGCCTCATGCCTGCTAATATTTCATTGAAGTATTGCACAAAACTTTGCATCAGAAGTCTTTTGTAGCTATTCATCCTGATCTTTTCTACACAGACTTTATTATTCATTGCTTTGTTTCTGTGTTATGTCATTACTTATTTTCTTAAACAATGGAGATTTGAAAACACCAGAACTATAGGCAGCAGTTGTCTTGGGGAAAGAAAAAAAAGGAAGTTATATTTCTGTGGAATGCCTTCTTGTCAGGGTCTTAAGGAATTAAGTTGATTTCTAAACCTGAGTATCTCCAAATTGTGTTTCCTGATAATTAAGAGAATTATGCCTATGTTGGAAAATCATGGAGGATTTTGCTTAAAACCCATGCCTATCAGATTAGCTAAATAATGGTGTATACCTAATTTTTTCTTGTAACTCATGCCAGAATTTACTTGGGTTTTCTTTTGCAAATGAGAATTGATACAAGTAGCTTGTGGTTTGACCACAATTTTGTTGTAGGACTGGATTAAAATTTGGGAAAACTTTTCTGCGGCTAGCAAAAAGCATTATATATTTAGCCTGCTGTAATTCCATTCTGAAGTAAAAAAAAACAAAACCCAAACCTTTCAATTAAGTATGTTGGCAATGTTCTTGCCATACTAAATTAGCAAAATTACTTGGTTACATCAAAGAAAGTTTCATCAAGTGATCAAGTAAGCTATAATGGAAAGACACTAAATATTCAACATTTGTTTTATTGCATCATCAGTGGAAGGCTGGCATCCTTTGACAACTCTTTTATTGAGTAATTTTAGTTGAGTAATTTTTTTAGGTTCACATGAATCAAGAGTCCTATACATACTACTGTTCCAGTTTGTGGTATAATCATCTCCTTCAGCTCATACAGATTCCTAAATGTAATCATGTTCAGACTACAGCTTAGTGCAAAGCTGTAGCAGACTCATTCATTTATCTGTATTTATGAAATAAATGAGATCTAGGAGAAAGTAACTAAATGCTGAGCACTCATTTATGTAGCATAGCAGTGTGGGAAAAAGGTATTATGTAATAATTGAGAAATTGCAGGAAGATGCGTAACATCTCTTAAGTGGTAAAACTGTGTAATTTTTTGGAGGCAGTACATACGTTCCACAGAGCAGGGTAAGGCTTTTAGTAGTAGAGGCAGATTATGAAGAGAAGAGAGGGTTATCAGCAACATAACAGAAAACTTCTATTTGTTTTTAATCCCTCTGTGGTATAGTGTGCTGTGTACCTATTTTCTGTTGTCCTCCATCAAAGATGGCTGCACCTTAGTAGGGCTTTGTATATTAAAATCTCTAAAATGCAGTCTATTATACATGTAAGTAAATTTGGAAGAAATGACTGGATTGTTACTTTAACTTGGTGTCTGTCATGCGCCAATGAGATATGGGGTTTTAAAATTTTTTTATGTAATTGATTGTATGCTTGTCAGATTTATGGATTCTGAGCACTGAATATAATTTATTTTCATTATCTCTCTCCGAAGGACAGTGGGCATTGTTGTTTAGTGAAACTCTTGCTTTAGTTCTGTAAACTGCTGTAGAATGCCAAAGGGAAAACAATGTGGAAGCGGCTGATTTTACTTTAACCTGTCTGTCTCAGTAGTTGCTTGGTGTGCTGGTTGACTTAATTTCTAGCAAGATTTTTTTATTTATATGTATTTGAATAATGCTACAACTGGCTCGATAAAGTGGAGTTACTGGAGTTACTTAACCAGAGTTAAAAGACCCCAATGAAAAGTTTCAGACAGAAAGGTGACTTGCAGACTGGTGTGATTTAAGTTTGTCTGAACTTAAGACAATAGTTACAAAACAGTCTAGAACAGATTTGGTTGAGAATAAGCAGAGCAGCAGAAATATGAGACTTGTGGGTTTTCAGTCTAAACAGTTAATTTATAACTGGGAAGATTTTGTGTCAGCATGGATGCCAGAGGCCTTTGGGGTCTAGAGCCTCCCCTTACTGCTGCTCTTGAACTCAGTTATTTTCTTTCCTGTGAAGGGAATCAGGAAGCAGCTGTGCTTTCCTGATTTCCTGTTGATCGATTGGTGATCACAGTAAGATCCTGTGAGCCTCAAGGAAGGCAGGTGTTGCTGTTATGAGGACTCTGTGATTCCTTTTTCTTGCTTGCACATCAGGCTGTGGTTGGTACACATGGGGGCAGAACTGGGAGAAGAGAAACGGAAAGCTCAGCTGAATAATTCTTTTGTTTTGTTTCCAGATGTACTGTGAGACTGTCTCTTTTGTTATCATACTTCATTGCTGAAGTAACTTCTTTCTTTAAAACACAAGTATCTGTATTTTTTTGACCCTGAAGGAAACAAATTTATCTTTCATAGTTATGAGTTGCAGTTCTGTAGTGTGAAGTCTTGCAAACTTTGTATAACGGATACAATACATCGAAATACTGGCATTGCTCTGGTGGCTTGCTAGTGTCTCTCAAGCCTGACTTTAGATGTGGCTTTTAATATGGGAACATTGTTTTTCCACCATTGCTTGTTCATTGTTCTTGCTTTCTTCTGAGAGACTGTCAATAGAGACATGCGTTGAAATTGCTTGCTGTGAGGTTAGTGTCTTTTGACTCTAGGGTTAGCCCAGGACTGCCCAGCTCACACTGGGTATTTTGCTGAACAATTATCAGGTGGAAGGAGAAGCTGATGGTTATTATCTTTCATGGAAATTCTTCATACCTTATTGGTGTTTTTATAGGACAACGAGTAGCAGCAGTTAATTGCTGAATGTTTTGAATCAGAACTGTTAGTTTTTGAGTATTA